TTCTATTGTTTTAAGCATTTCAATGCACGGGGGGAGTAAAAATGATCCGTCTGCATTAGAATGTTTAAAACAATAGAATAGAAAACGATGAAATTATTTTACTCTTATATATATTCTTCTTCTCTCTATTTATTTGTGTTTGATAATGTTCTTAGTTAGAACGAAACGTCACACTGATTGATCTTAATAAATCAGTTGAAAAAAATGTCTAATAGCTTAGTTTCATTAATGATTTCATTTTAGAGCTTGTTATTTTACTGAGTTCGTCGTCGATTGAAACTCTTATGCGAAGAAATATTAATTTTTTTAACTCTTATACCATAAAAAGAATATAATGCTGAGTATATATTCCGTTTTCAATATAAATCTTAAAAGAACAACTAGATGATAAATATGCGTAAGTCATAAAGATTACAGTAATCAAATAAAAAGCTTAGCTGTTCTATTTACTTTTGTAGCTATAAATTATTTTTTATCTACGACAGACAACTGTTAAAGAATGAGAAAAAAAAATAGCCTCAACAATGAATAAATTTTAGAAGTACGTCAATAGTGTTGCTGTTCAATATTTGCTTTGATAAAATATACCAAAAAATTGACATCGTTTTATCTATGGTATTTTTCCCCTAGAATTTTTCGTTTGTGGTATCAATTCATTAATTCTTCTTAAAAATCTAAGTTTCATTATTACATATATATCTGATACTAATAAACTAATTTAGATTCTTCTTTTATTATTCATCGAGATTATCATAAATCACAACTTTGTAACTAATTATATATTTCTCCATAGATATTAGAATAGACTAGACTTGAGAATTCATAACGAAAACTTGAGAAGATTTCAATAGAATATTTATCAGATGTAAGACAAACGCATCACCCTTGAGCGATCGACAAATTTCTAATTACCTACGAAGAGTATAGAAAAAAAAAAACTTTAAAAAACGATCGATATGTCAGAAGAAAGAGTGTAGTCAGGTTTTTGTAATATCTAAACGCATTCTAATGAGCAGGTCTCATTTTGTTTTCGAAAAAGTAGAAGTTAAATTTTCAACAAGTTGAAATATTTATTTAAAGAAATGAAAGTTCATGCATCTTTAAAACATAAGGCATGAGTAGAAGTCTTTTGAACAAATATCAAAACAAAAAGAAAAGTTTGTAGAAAAGACTTCTACTCATGTCTTATGTTATATAGATGCCAAACTTTCATTTCTTTACATAAATATTTTAACTTGTTAAAGATTTGACTTATACTTTTTCGAAAACAAAATGAGACCTACTCATTGGAATGTATTGAGATATTGAGAAAAAGAATGAACGTGTATTGTCCATCATCAAATTAATAAAATTAGATGAATGGTCAAGTTACAAGTAAGACAAAGATGATTCTTGAATATTAAACCTTTTTCTTTCAAGTAAAGAATCGTTTACGACAGATGAAATAATAAAAAATTATCGTTTTAAAGTCAACGAATTACTATTTATGACATTTACAATTCGAAGTTTAAACAACAAGAACATAATATTACTTTATGACATACAAAATCGTTTTTTGTGATAAACGCGTTATTTGGTCAATATATCATAGTTTAAACGATGTGACATTAAACATCGTTTTAACGGTAGAACAGCGTTTTCTCAACTAACTGGGTAGGCACCGAGTTCACACAACGGGCTTAGTTTATGAGCAATCTAGTTCTAACCTATTCATGTGGAATGATTGTTATTTGTGACATTGATATCGCTATAAGCATGTGTTGAATCCTTAAAACTGCTAGCCTCTCAATTAATGATATGTCCTTCACATAGGCGGTGGAACGTTTTAAATCTAGGGTAGCCTCAACACCTTTTATAAGATCCTTACCGACAGGCTAAATAGAGAGAGGGTAAGTTTTTTCTGCTGTACCATTCAAATAAAACACAATTAATACTGCTTATTTCCAACTCAAATTTTTTAATTCTTAGTATTAGTTCAGATCAAAGATGAGTTTACAACTTATGGCAAAAAAAAGCTTGTATTCAAATGGCCACTTAAACTTTTGTCTTGATTGAATAATGACCTTCAGATATAGTTCATCGGATGCAAAATTTTTGAATCTGAATTCGGAATGGTAGTCTTCGTGCTTTTAATACAATTCTTTTACTCCTAATTTGATAATTATTTCGAAGATACTACATTGTTTTTTCGATTAAGTTTTCGGTAAACACACTGTAAAAAGAATTGGGTTTATTACGAAACCTGTGCCTGCGCTCAGACCCTTTTAGGTTTCGTAAATCGATACGAAACCTAAAAAGGATCAGAAAGCGATTAACTGAACTTTTTAGGTATCGTAAATCGATACGAAACCTTAAAGGATCTGAACGCGGACACAGGTTTTGTAATAAACCTATTTTTTTTACAGTGTAGCACACCTTACACATTTTTCAAACACCCTTGACGATAATCTAGTAATAACCAAGTTATAACTGGCTGTTACATGCAGCTAGCGCCCATTAGATCTGAAATGGAAGACTTGCACCTGGATCCAGATCGGGCTCTGGTCAACAGCAATACTTCGGACTCAGGCTCGACACTAGGGTCGGTTACATTCTGAACTAATTTGATGATCTACACTCCTAGAAACAGTTTTTGATTTGTACTTAGGGGTAACCAAAAGTTCGTGCAACATTAAATAAAAATATAAAGATGCAGAGATATTTTCAATTTTATTTTATCAAATGTTTATGATAGCTGCCATGATTATTTATATCAAGTTCAATCCTTACTAACAATTTATTAAAAGTTTTTTTGAAGTCTTTTTCGAAAAAATTTTTAGCTACCTTGGAAACCACATGAGCTAATCATATTTCATTTATTTAATCAGTTAAACTACATTCAATAAAATTAGTTAGCCACAAATTACGTAGTACCAGACTTGGCGCATGTGACTGATATGACATTATGTTGATGTCTTCTTCTGTCAAATAATTAATAACATCAGATGAGTATGAAGTCAACGATCATCTTGAAGGAATTTTGTATATTTTGAACATGATGTCTATGTTTGCTTCCATATTTCATTAACAAAAGGGTTCAGATAATTTTCAATATAATACTTGTGATCTACAGTCTTGCCTTTATCTACACTCAGGACTATTTGATTTAATGGATATACCAAGCAAAGTTTTGCTTTCTATCTGCCTCCATGAACAATAGTCTTTGACAATTCATCTTGAATAAGCCAGTTAGCATTAGATGACTTATGACTGACCTATCTAAAATAAATCCATATCCCATTACTAGTAATGCTAGAATGCAACTGACATGATCGAACAAAATTCCACTAATTTTTTAAAACAAATGAAATATGATTAGCTCATGTTGTTTCCAAGGTAGTTAAAAATTTTTTCGAAAAAGACTTCAAAAAAACTTTTAATAAATTGTTAGTAAGGATTGAACTTGATATAAATAATCATGGCAATTATCATCAACACTTGATAAAATAAAATTAAAAATATCTCTGCATCTTTATATTTTTATTTAATGTTGCACGAACTTTTGGTTACCCCTAAGCACTACTGGAAACTGGAATTATGGCGACGCAGTAGTGCTCCCAGAGAAGGAACCTCATTGCAGATTAGTTCAGCGTGTTGAAAATGTTTGATTGCCATCTGGGATCAATCGCTGAGAAGAGAGAAAATTTTGGGCATTATCCAGTAGATATGACAACAAGTATCCTGTTAAGTTATTCTTCATTTATAACAAAACATTATGGCATGAGCTCATTGCTAATGTTTACCACAACACTTAGTCATAGGAAACTCACTTTTTTTCCTAAAAATGCTAGTAGTTGCCAGTGATGACAGCAAAACCTTTCAAACCGCAAGCAAGTTTGTCAATCTGATAGAGTGAGAAACGACTATTTGAGTCTCTCTTAGGCTACGAAACTTGAATTTTGATGAACTTTAGCCTACTCAGGCCTTGAAGCTCCGTCGCCTATGAAAGTGTACTGTTCTTTATTACTTAAAATTCAAAAGTTATTTTGAATAGAAGTTCATAACAACAGTTAAACTACTTTATGTTGAAAATAAAGAATTTGACGTAGATACAGGCGTCCACGAAAACCAATCATTATGCCTCTATACATGAGTTTGTAATAGATAAAATGCAGACTGACCTTTTAATAACGCATCATCTGTTGGGAAAAAGTGAAAATTAACTGATATTAGAAAACCTATGCATTAAATCGAGCCTATTCAAGCCTTTATCTGTACTTGGTCGAGCCTACCCAAGCCTTTACCTCTCCAACATAGGGTAGGCTCGTGCCTACCCAGGCCTCGTGGCTCCGCCGCCTATGGTCCTTCAGATTCAACTGTATCTGGTCGAAATTCGCTACTACAAATAAATCTTCGATTGAACTAGGATTAGAGAGAACTTTTATGATTTGAGTATAAGTCATATGTGAAGTTTTATTTTATACAAATATTCAGTCAACAACGGTTTTTATAAATTTAAGACCTTAAATTTATCAAGAAACTTCTCAGAATCAGTATTGATTTTTTTGGATCTTATCAGAGATTGGGAAAAATAGTGTTGAATCGTACATAACTATAGCAAAAATAAATTTGTATGATTTTAGGTGATGTCTTCAAGAGTTTCAATTTATCATGTGGTTTGTAGTCTAATACTACTGATAGTCTGTTTGTTTCTCAGTATTCGTTTGAATTTTCATCCATCAATTTTTCGAATTCATGAAAATAAATTTTATTTTAATTGTTTTGAATGGGAACCTGACAATCATCAACCATCTATCCCATACAACTGTTCACTATATACACAGATAAACAGTTTCGTATGGACTTATGATGGTACTGGAATAATGAAATATATTCAATGGATAATAACACGAAAATTAGGAAATATTAAAATAACTCGATTAAATAACAATTGTTATATTATTCAAGAAAATTATTTCTCTGCAAATTCGTCAAACGACATGTTTGTTCAAGTTTACATTATGCCCTTATCAGTTAACTTAACTGATAAATCATATTGTTCAATTAAAATTAATCAACTACTAAGTATTAATGTAGGACGCATTAATCAAATTTATTTTAAAAGAAAATCTATTAATGCAACATTTTTATTTCAACAATTAGATTTAATGAAAGAGAATTTCAATCTTACTTTCTATTTTAATAATTCTCTCGAAGATAGTTTTAAGAAAGCCAATTATACTGCAAACCGTTTTTCAAGTTATTTCACAGCTATTCCATCTGTTAAATGGACAGTTATCGATTCAGAAGATTTAATTAAAACGAATCTAATCGATTGTGAAAGAATCTTGACAAATTTTATATCATTATTAGAACTTAATACTTTGTCTTCAGAACTACAAAATATAATTCAATATGACTCTTATCAGTTTATTGAAGATTCAACTTGGTGGGATCAATCGAGTGTAGCTGAACATATTCTAACAATGTCAATACCATCTCGTCCATCGAATTTAACATATTCTAATGATTTTTATTATTTACATGGTAATCGACCATTTGCACAATATCTATCTGATAATCGGCAATGTTATAACGAAGGTATATTTGCTCAAATGCAGTCTGAAACAATTACAAATCGTACTTCAACTGATGAACCAAATCGATGTTTATCGAAACCATTTGATTGTGCTTTTGGTGATTTATATTCATTTAACGATCGAGAGCAACTATATCAACAATCGAATAAAAAACCACTTAAATGTGGTTTTGCCATTCCATCTATTTTTGATAAAGTTAGAAATCGATATAGTCGTAATCATACATGTCAAACTATAATTTTTACGTGTATTACAAACTGCTATGATCCTCTACCTGAAGTGAAAGGTGAAATCTTACCGTCATTCTGTTTTGTTGCTTTGCTTGACACACGAACACTTAGTGCTTATAAAAAACTCTATTCAATAAATTCTAGTTTCAAATGGGATTTAATTGATTTAGGCAATGATTCTACACCATTTAGTGTTGCTGCAAAATCACCAGAGACATTGAAGATTATTGGACAACGAATGTTTCCAGTAGCAAAATGGATTATTTGGATTGACGGCAAAGGAAGTATTAATGATATTAGCGGTTTATTAAAAGAAGCAAGGGCTCCAGTCATTGGTGCTTCTCATCCTGATCCAAGACGAACTTCAGCATCTGAAGTGAATCCTACCATTGGTCGTGTAAGTATGGGAGAAAAAGCATTATCTAAAAGACTCAATAATTCTATACTGGACATTAAACTTCAAGAAAAAGAATATCAACGTGATGGATTTTATTCTCGTTCAGATCAACTCAAATTAAAAATGTATGATATTGCAATATTTTTATATAGAAATAATCATCCGTGTACTGTTCGTTTTTTATGTGGATGGCATAATGAAGTAAATTATTTTTCATATCGAGGACAATTATCAGTTTATTATTCAGCTGTCCGATTGAATTTAACTGATTACTTACATTTTTTACCAAAACGGTTTTATTATACTGTTGGTCATCGTGTAGTTTGTTAGAGATCTATCTATAATTGGAATTCAAATTTTGAAATTAGTATAGTTTATAGAAGAAAAGATTTTATTCGTTTAAATTTGAATATTACAATGTACAAGTTATGTGCATCGAGATTCTATTCATTTGGTTCTAAGCTGACGCGATAGAGATATGCAGATAAATATATGTATGTAGATGGAAGTATATCGTTATATCAAACTTTTTTTTTTATGCTTATAAAGAAAAAAATCGATTGTGAATACGCTAGACTTTGTCTAATGGAGTTCAGTTTATATATGTAATGTTATTAGTTTTTCTACAGAAATCGTGTCAAACTTTTTGATCGTTGTAAATAGATAAGCAAAATCATTCGTCAGCGACGTGACTTGGCAAAATTAAAACATGTGTGACCCTTGGGAACCATGATTAGTACCTGAAAACTGCCAAAACTTCTTCTGTTCACACGTTTTCTTATTTTTTTTTGTCTGATTAATCGCTTATATAGTTTTCTAGTATTTGAAGTCAAAAGATTCCTTTTTCAAGATGACCAGATAGTGATTTTCATCGGACATCGTTTTCTATGATCTGTAACACTCGGACATAGGATGACTACTCATATATTGGTGGTTTTAAGATTTTCTTGTCAAGTTCAAAACAAAAGTTTCTTAAACTGAGCTAAATTGTAACCAAATATGTCTCACCTCTATTTCTCAAAGATGTCAATACTTTTTGGCTCTGTTTGTCGGTAATCGTAATGGTTTGATGTAAAAACTATTGTATTTTGTGTGAGCGATAAAAAAAAACATTTTTTTTCTCCCTTCGATTAATTGTTTTTGATGTCATTTAATTTTCATGAAAGCAACCGTCGTTGTCATGATGTCATTAGAATTCAACAAGAAAGACGAAAAAAGAAAGAGAAAAGTAATGTCGTGCCCAATTACTGCCAGTGCTTATGGCGCATAAAAGCTATTAGGATTTTGAGTATCAATTATTATTATATTTTGCAACTTTTCCTTTTTTACCAATGCAACAGTCGACGTTCTTATCTTATGCTTTCTCTCTGAGCAAGATGTAAGAAGCTCTACCACGGCTGTTGTTTCACGACGATACGTCTTGCAAGGAGAAAACCGAGGCACAAATATTGGAAATCCTCGCTCCACTGAATGTAAAAGATTTAGTGACCTTTTGCTCTTGAGTGAGTCGTAAAAAGTCCGCTTTTACTTTTCTCGTCTCATTTTCCGTTCCATTTGGATGAACACTTGAAGATGAGTATTCTGAGGAGCAAAACAATGTTCAATCTCACATCAGAAGTAGGTTTTCTTCATCATTCTATTTTATTGTTCAATGACTCTGTACTTGCTAAGAATCGTTCATTGACTCCTTAATATGACAAACTTGATGTGTTATTTCTACACGAAAGAAGAAAAACGAACAATACCAAAAATATTGATGATACAGGTGGATGTACAGCTAGCGTGAAGGATTGGATTTCTGATTTTGCTCTACCACTCTCAAGAGACAGTTTTGGATAATGGAAATACCGTTTGTTGAAGAGAGAAAAAGAGTGCTTCTCGTCTATTATAGGAAACACAATGAGATATGTGTTTTTTATGCAAGAAAAATAGAAGAGAGGAAGGACATGTTTGTGCTCTCTGGTCATTGCTCATTTGTATCTATCTTTGCAAAAATTGGAAATCTTTACTTAAGCCGGAAATATTTTTTAATTACTTCTTCAGGGTTGCCCTAAGCGAAGCTCTAATTTTCGGCAATGAATTAAGAAAAAAAACCCATTGAGTGGCAGAAAGTATATTCATAAACCTTCGGTTTTCCGGATAATAATTTAGTAAAAGATTATTTCTTAGTAAAAAGCCATTCCCGAATGCGCGAAAAGTATTATTCATAAGAGTAGTTCGTACTCTTCCGTTCTGAGGAGTCTTAGAGCTTGCAAATAACGTTTTTCATGTTATCTTGAACAAGAGTAGCTTTCTACTGGTGTTTAATGGTTTTTCATACATGTTCTTCTTCACTTTTATTCATCACAAATAATATTCAATTTTCTTTTTTATGTTCAATACTTACTCAGTTCAATTACTATGTATAAAATAAGTTGTTAGCACCTACGCGACGATTTATTATTCACGTTTCTCGTCGTTGCTTCTTGGTTTTTTTTCTTTTTCGATATGTTACATTTTTCTTAACGTTCTTTTTTGTCATATCTATTAGCACAAGAAGAAAAAAACTAATGATTCATTAAAAAGATGTTACGATTAGCAAACTTGACTCAGTATGATAAGACGAGTAATTCTTAATCTGTTACATTTTTTATGATGCGCTCTATTCTGTTTTTCAGCGAGCACAATATAGCACAGTTAAGTCGGTATCAAATGGGTTACAAATCTTTTAAATGATGAACTAGTTTATAAAATGCATTGAATTTATTTTTCGAAGGTACATTAAAATAATTGAATAGCAACCTTAACAAGAAATGGGTAGTTCACTGTCACACTCAATCCCAAATTTCGACACAAGAATTCGAACAAAGGATGGACAGACATTTCGAATTTCGTATTATGATTTGGTTGATCATATCTTGTTGCTTCGTCACGTGATTGCTCAACCGGAATTGATACAAGAAGGACCGACATTAGATTATTTTGTTAATGATTATTGTAGTCGAATGGCTCGTCAAGAAATGCACAGTAAACATCAACAATTGAAGCTTCCATTGCAAACTGAATGGATTTGGCACGTTCATCGTCTTCATCCTTTAATCTATCACATCGATTGTACTACACAAGTTCCAGGTGGGAAACTTGTCGACAAAATAAATTTGGTCAAATTCTACAAAATTCTAGAAGCAAACATAATGCAAAGGTTTCGTTTTCATCAATAAATAGTTATTTAGTATTCGATCCATCAATCGATTTGAGAAAAGTTGTCATTCGTCAACGTGATTTTCTTGAGAAATTCCAAAGACATTATCTCTATTCATTTGACTTAAAAGAAATGAAGCATTCGCATTTCGAACATTTGATACAGAATTATATGTCATTTATCAAATTGGCTCAAAAAAACAAAATGATTGTACCAACTTTTGAGATTGATTTAATATGGCATACACACACGAGATATCCATCACAATATCAAAGCGTTTCAACAGCTCTGTGCGGTTTTATTCTTGATCATGATGATGGAATTGAGTCCAATATTTTAACAGATGCTTATAAGACAACTGCTAAACTATGGAAAAAGACTTATAATTCAGAATACGGCCACAGTATTGACCGCAAATGTTTAGAAACATCACAATACATGAGTTCATGTGTAATGATTTTCGTGTCAGTTCACATTTCAAGTAATGATGGAGCCTCATCATGTGGACCGACTGAAGGTGGTTGCGGATCGAGTTGTGGTGGTGAAGACTGTAATGGGTTGGAGGATGTGGAGGTGGTGGTGATTGAGACGCATTAATCGAACAGGAATTATTAGCTTCAAGGACTATAAAGGGTGTGTAATAAGTTCTGATCCTCTTCAAGTGATATTCTTTTCTTATATGTTTTCTTAATAGAATAGGCTGATATTTGCAGCACATATACTAGACATCTAGATCTACTCTGCACTAGAATTTCAGCTGTCTATCTCTCATAGTTAGAGAGATACAAGTAACCAAAAATTCATAGAAATTTTAAGGACTATCTGTTACAATAGCGCCATATTAAAATAGATCGTTGTTGATCAAAACATCTAAACAAATAACTGAAATATGTACCTATTATATTAAATAAAGTTTATGAATGGGATCATATTGTAAATCGAGATATATTGTCTGTTATACATTTAGATGCAGTTTTGATAACCTTTATTAACATTATATGTTTGAGAGTCACCCACTTTTTTGCTGTTAGGTGAAAGCAATGAAAAGAGCGATATCGCATTAGAAAAGCTTTACCATCAACGGCGTTTCTAATGAGAAAAATGATTGCAAATGTATCAGTCATGTCATTGAACAATTTGCTAACATTAATATACTATAAATACTCGAGTACTCATCTGATGTCTTGGATGTTAACTTCATAGAAATTGTCGGTCAGCCATAAACTATACTGTTGAGAAAATAAATTCAAAAGAACTTGGTAAACTCCATTATTTTTCAGGCAAAGAGTTTAAAAATGTTGAAATTTGTGTTATAAATGAGTTTTTTATGTCGAACAAAAAAAGATCTTTGTTTTCTACTTCTTCTAAAGGTGAACAGAGGGAATATTAAATTATGTTGCTTTATAGTATTCTTTGTAAGCTATCAACCGCAATATAAAAGAATTTGAAAACGACATGTACATAAGATAATACCTGTAGAAAAATATGTGCAAGTTTTTTTTTTGCAAACAACTGTATATGAATGGTTCATCTCGAGAAAACAAATTCTTGCAACGACAGAGGAAATCACACGGAATCGTATTATCAAAGTCAGCATTTGATTCGCTTGATATCTATTTGAATGCTAAAATGTGTGTTTGAGCAAATAGATCTTTCTTGAGTCCAAGAGGCGAAGAAGAGTAATCAAAACGGGCCGTTGAATTTTAATCTAAACGTTCTGTATAGATGATTTCAAATCATTTCATTTAATTCAACTTTCCAATCGAGTATGTACGACAATGATTTTTTGGTTGATTCTATATTTTAATTTTGCTTATGCAATGTAAAGTTACGTTATTAAGAATCGATTGATTTTTAATTAGAGGCAAATACGTATTTTTATGTGACGTTAAAATAAACATACAAATACATACGACATTATTTGAGAAGTTAAAATTGATTTTATAAAAACAAAAAAATGGACGGCATTCAAAGAAAAAACTCATCGAAAAATATTTAATCATTCAAGAAAATCATATTGATCGTAGACAACTGTATAACGAGGTATACTCATGCCTACAAAACCTGTTCGTTTAGCACGGTCGACTTCACTTGGTGGCATAAAAACAGGTGGAATTGATGGTGTAGGTGCAAATGTAAATTCACTAAACAAGAAAAAAATTAATATACAGTTCAATATTGTTTTAAATACTACACACGTTGTATCAATTTGTTTAGACATCATCTTTTCTTTACGCAGACGTTCTTTTCTTATTTTATAATCATATTCTTTAGCTAATGTTTGTGGTAATGGATAACGTGTTTCCTTTTCACAAAAAATACTTGAATTTGGACGTTCTTGTGGATTTTTCAATGAAAGTGTCACTTTACTATTAGAAATACTTGCATTAGTCGATGGAGGAGGTAATACAAGTGGATCTGAAAGATAAAATTATCTTTGAAATTAATATATATATATATGTATAGTTTATTAAATTTTTTTTACCTGTATTACCAAATAATTCTTCTTCAACAATACTTTTTTTATTCACCGTTCGATAAACTGATTTTCGTCTATCAAAAAAAAAATAATACTTTGAATAAATTCTTTTTTTTTTCTTTGTATTCTTTTACTTTCGTTGAAAATCCGATGCTAAACGTATATGATCAATTGTCGTAAATATTCCATAATTAAGTGGAGCTCGAAAATAAACACGTCCTCTTAAAGTTCCATCATTATCACCATCTGGAGTAGCTAAATCAATTCCAAGCCATATACCATGTCGTCCTACGATTGGACCTTTATAAAGAACTGTTCCATAAACAATTTTATCATTGCGAAAGACTTCAACACGTTGACCAATAATAATACTTTCATAAGTAAGCATATTTTTATCTAGAAAGCAAAAAAAAATCAGGAGAAAATTGCAAAATTTGATTATTAATTTCAAATTAATTTATTCAATCCGTTTTACGACCAAGTAAAATAAATGTTCCAAAATAAATTTTCATCGGTTCATTTTCATTTTCTGTTTTCATTGCTTTAAACAAACTACATAATAAAAATTTTTAAGAAATTTTTTTTCTTTTTCTTTTTTCAAAATTAATCATCTTACTCTCTACGTAAATCAAAAATAATATTTTTATCTGGATATTTTTGCATGTAATGAATATAACCTGACCACGTTGAAACATAAGCTAGAAAACGATCAAGATTCCATTCATATTTTATTTTAACACTTTCATCTCTAACAAAAAGATATTTTAACATATTAAAAAAATATGATAATAGTTTTGTTTGTTTTTATCTTACCGAATTTGTTCTTCATAAGGTAAAATAATATCAGCATATTTCTTATCAATTTGAAGTCGATCCGGTGGAAAATACGGTAATAGCTTTTTGTAGAACTAAACAAATATATTTTGAATTTTTTTTTTTTTAATTAATTATTGAATATACAGTTTGAAAAATTTCATTGAGTTGTGTAGAATTTTCACCATCGATTTTAGGCAATTCATAACCATAAAGAGCTAATACACCCATTTGTTTAAGAGTTCGATTAGCTTCAGAATAAAATTGTTTTAAATCAAACCAATGTGCTGCCTATAAACATCATCAAAGAAATATATATTATATTAAAATAAAATAATAAACCTGTGCAGCAGTGATTAAACAAAGGGATTTGTTTGCATGTGGTATAGCATTATTTGCACTGACTCTTAACGAAGTATGAATAATTACAAAACAAAGAAAAAGGAATTAAAAAATATATAAATTTTACTGATATTCAATATTTGATATTTTATTTTTTGTTTTTGCTTCTTTTATTTGATTTTCACTTACATCATAACCTACAAATAATATTCTTATTTTATAATAAAATAATCAAGATATGAATTACCATAGACTTTTTGAAAATAAGGTGATAAAAGTTCCGTACTTTGTCCACTACCACAACCAATATCAACTGCATAATCATATACACCTTTATACTGAGAACAAAAAAAGAATAAGTATTTTACATTGAAATTAAGTTAGAAAAATTATACCTTCATAGCAAGAAAATTAATGATTTTTTCCATTAATTCTGGTGGATATGTTGGTCGAGTTATTGCATAACGAGCTGCATGTTGAGCACCTTCAAAAAAACGTTTTGACATATTGGTTTATCTAGAAATAACATACAAATCTAATAGTTACTATTTGAATTTTTTTATTTTTGTAGAAAGTAAATCTTTATATATTATTCATTAGTTTTCATCCAGAATCTAATTATATCA